GCTGGGAGATAAAAGGTAGTGGTCAGACAGTGAGATACATCAGCCTGACATTATGGAGGGGTTAGTTTTGGGAACTAAGAAAATCAAAGGTATGACCATGGGAATGAATGCAGGAATGGGAGAGGATAATATTAGTGGAACACTGTTATTCAAGGAATATGTCAGGGTGTTGAAAGGATTATCCACATACGTAATTTAATCACCAAGAATTAAATCAGGAGTAGTGTTGTGGGGAGTGAAATGAGCCAAGAGCTAATCTTTTTGAGAAATGAGAGTGAATGACCCAGAGATTTTTATGGATGACAGCAATAATGAAGGGAAATAAGTGATACAATTTGATGGCATGAGACTCAAAGCTGGGGAGTTTTAAAGGAATACAAAGAGAGAAATGTCTGGAAACAGTGATAAGGAACAAGAAGAACATCTACTTCCAACTCTTGATCAGTAATAGGACTGTGGGAGGAAAAAAACCACCTGAGAGGGCTGCAGTGAAAGCATTGTCCTAAGAGCAGAGCCAGGGACAGAAGTGCCTGATGCTTCAGAATGCTCAACTTTAAATTCCCATTTTCAGTGAGATGCCTCCTCCCAGCTCCCACCTGTTCTTGGTGACTGGGAAGAATCCTGGAAAGAGTGAGCCAGTCAGACATGTCTGACCCCTTAACAAAAGTCTTACTGGCAACACCTTATTAAAAATGTGGACTGTGGGGCGCCTGGGTGGCTCAGCGGGTTAAAGCTTCTGCCTTCAGCTCGAGTCGTGATCCTAGGGTCCTGGGATCGAGCCCCACATCAGGCTCTCTGCTCAGCAGGGAGCCTGCTTCCCTTCCTCTCTCTGCCTGCCTCTCTGCCTGCCTGTGATCTCTGTCTGTCAAATAAATAAATAAATAAAATCTTTAAAAAAAAAATGTGGACTGAAAATACAGTTTCCTCCTGAAACACCACTAAAATGACAGCAAAGCAATATTAAATGATATAAATCAATGAGGACAAAGAACATGGGAGAAAAGATAATAGCACTCAAACACGGTCAACAAAATCTTTGAATCTGGCAGGTAAAAGACAAGCAACAACTGTTGGAGCAGTTCAAAGAAAGCAGAAACCTAATGGGGGGTGGGGCTGAGGGCAAGGGGACAATAATAATAATAAGCAAGCAAATGTATACCACAGAACCCCAGAAAATACTGAGTGAGGAGTCTAATTCAGTTTCTCCAGAGGACAAAAGAATGAACAAATGAATGAGTAAGAGGAGAGGATTTCAGGTCTAATTTACTTTACAGTCTTTCAAGTAATCTTTGTGTTTTTAGCCCTCTACCCTTACCCCTTGCTATTCAGATAATTGATGTCTCCAACTCCTCACTCAGTCTTTTCTGGTTCAGACAGATCTGAATCACAGTGGTGGAATCAACTTAGGCTGATGCTGGGATTCCCGCTTTGGTTTTGTTTCCCTTTAATCATCACTCTTTTCATTGCTGCCCTTCCCCTTACTCCTAACTCCTGAGCCTTACTATTTCTTAAATTCTACTCTCCATGGGGCATGCCCAGCTATTCATACTCTCTAGCTATCCTTCCTCAGAGCTTAGCACTGGCCCCCTTCACACACCCCTGTGGTCCAATTGGTCTTCATGAGACCTGTTCACTTTAATATACTCCCCACGGGTTCGAATCTGTCACAGAGAAACTATTATGAACTCAGACATGTGTGGGAACAGTTTCTGTAGAACTTTCAAAATAGAGTAATTGCTTCTTCATATGATCAGACCCAGCACTGGTCAAATTCTCATGTCCTTACCCATTTTCAAAATAAGTAAGATGGGAATCACTATAGCAGCTCCCCACGTACAAGTCATCCAGTATATCCATGGAGCCCAGCAGTTCATAACAGAATCCCAAGACATTCCACCTTAGTTTGTCACATGATGAAAGCAAAGTTAAATTCCTATTACTTAAGCTCATAATACAAAGATTTCATTTCCCCCTTCCTTTACCCTCCAAGTCTCTCCTTTGGCACAAACACAAGTATGTCCACTAGGTCAGCCATACTCTGTTTTCCCAACCTGTTTCTCCTGTTTCAGGAAACTGGCATGGTTTGAGTAAGTCAACATCAAAGTATGTGATTTCCCTAGAGAGTTAACTTTTCTGTATTAATACAAATTTGGAGGCTACTCTGGCTCTAGTAAAAGCAATGCTAAGGGAGTGCCTGGATGGCTCAGTCGTTAATTGTCTGCCTTTGGCTCAGGTCATAATCCCAGGGTCCTGGGATCAAGCCCATCAGGCTCCCTGCTCAACCAGAGAGCCTGCTTCTCCCTCTCCCACTCCCTGCTTGTGTTCCCTCTCTCACTGTATCTCTCTCTGTCAAATAAATAAATAAAATCTTAAAAAAAGAAGCTAAAAAAAAAAAAGCAACACTAAGATTGAATTACCCTTTCTGATTTTGGTGGCGGTGATTTGCTGGTTAGAGACACAGGTCTAGGAAAGAGAGTGAAAGGGTGGGCTGAAAAGAAAGAACAAAGTTTGTAGTCATCAGGCTACTTGAACGTTTGAACTGATCACTACTAAAAAAATCAGATAAAGACCCATTTTTCTCCATTTTGGCCAGATATCTGGCAGCCCCAGTCTTCCAGAACATACCACGACCCATGAATAAAAGTATCTTTAAGAAAACAGTTATCACAGTGTCCACATGCTTGACACAATGTGAGAAACAGCTGCCAGTAGGTCACTGGCCAGACAAATAAGACAGTAGCATAGTATAACTCAGGATACACTAATAATGGAAGGAAGAGGTGGCAGCTGACAGAGGAGTCCAAGCTATAATAAAAACTAGTTTGTCTCTGCTTTCTGATTCCATGAGAACAGTAACCTTCAACCCTTCCAATCTGGGTAAAGAAGATCATAACTCAAGGCCAAATTAATGAGTTTGTTTGTAGTGATGGCAGGGAGTCAATAAGAGACTACATTTGGTTTACAATGCCATTTAATAAAGATGTCCTAGAGAATCAAAGAATTTTGGCATTAGAAATTACTTTGGAGAGACACCTGGGTGGCTCAGTTGGTTAAGCCACTGCCTTCGGCTCAGGTCATGATCTTGGAGTCTTGGGCTGGAGTCCCACATCAGGCTCCTTGCTCGGTGGGGAGCCTGCTTCTATCTCTGCCTCTGCCTGCCATTCTGCCTGCTTGTGCTCTCTCTCTCTCTGACAAATAAATAAATAAAATCTTTAAAAAAAAAAGAAAGGAAGAAATTATTTTGGATGCTGTGAAATGTGTAAGCCTGATGATTCACAGACCTGTACCTTGGGGGCAAATAATATATATGTTAATAAAAAATTAAAAAAAATAAAATTATGCATTATTGAAAAGCCTTAAAAAAAAGGAATTACTTTTGGGGTCTCTTTATTCCACCCTCTATCCAATGCCAAAATCTTTCACAATATTGTTAGGAAATGATCATCCCACCTTTCACTTCCAGTGAAAGAAAATTTAGAGATAATTCATTTAATTCATTTTGCTAAATAGTTGTACCTTGATACCACTCTGAGCCTTAGCTTTTCCTTCTGCAAAACTATGAACAATACTACCTTCTTTGCAAGTATTCTCATAGGCCCTGGTTTACAATAGATGTTTCCCTCCAATTGAGCTAGGATATGTATGCCTCTCTGCAACCTCCACCTACTGGAAATGCTCGCCTTCTGGTGCCAGAAAGAACATTTTCCATGACAGCTCTGAAGACAAGAATCATGTTATCATTGTCCTTTCCTAGATACTCCACAAATTGCATACATGTCTCTATCTTACAAATGACAACTACATACAGACTCCTTAATACTTTTTTTTTTTAACACCACACAAGCTTTATTTGTACAATCTGTAAGATTTCTAAATCTGTCAGACCTTAATACTTTTATACTCCTTAACTAAACACCAACATCTTCGTCACATAAACTTTTGTTAATCCAAGCTCTCCCCCACTGTATAAGAGCAATAGATTTTTTAAAAATGAAAGTTAAGATGTATTTTTTAGCTCTTTTAAAACTTAATTTTCTTTATTTCATTTTATGAAGATGATCATGAATCTTGATTCAGTCCCTCATTATTTAAGGTTGGGTAAGTCTTTTTAATTTTTTATGTATTTTTTTTATTTTAAATATTTTAAAAAAGAGTTTATTTGAGAGAAAGAGATCATACATGTGTACAAGTTGGGGAGGGGCAGAGGGAGAAGCAGACTCCTCACTGAGCATGAAGTCTGATGCAGGGCTGGATCCCAGAACCCTGAGATCATGACCTGAGCCAAAGTCGGATGCTTACTGAGCCACCCAGGCACCCCTAATTTTTTATATTTAGAATAAATGGACAAAAACAAGACAAAATCTTTTGAGGTGGAATGGTAGTACCATCTAAGTAGTAGTGAAATTGCAATTCTAAATTGTGATAAACATTGTCATAGCTAAAGAATGTTTCCTGTTGACTCTTTAATCTTACTATTTCAGTATTAAAATATTAATACTTAAAAGTTTCTATCATCTGTAAAATGTATTTATTTGAAATGTCATTTAGGCAATGGCTTTAACTATATATTAAGGCTCATTCAATAATTCTTCCCCTTCTGAAACCTGCCTTATTTGTTTGAACTAAATAAATATGTCCCTTTCTAGAAAAATATTCTCTTAAGCACTGCTGACCTACCATAAAAGATTGTTCTCATGTACTGTTAAATCTTTAAATAACTACCACATGCCAACCACTTCACAATTGATACTGTGTAGCAAGTACTATCATCACATGTTTTATAGACTGAAAAACCAAGCTCAGAGAGGTTCACTAATATGACCAAAGACATATAGCCAATAAGAGATTGCTGAAGGACTAGTAGCAATGGAAGAAATGAGGACCTCAAAGCCTTGTGTTCAGAGGACCCTATGAGAGAAACATTGATGCAATTAGGCTGTGCCTGGGCTCCCTCACCTTCCAGGGGCCCTGACACAGAGACTTTGTCAGACAAGCACACAGAAGGGAAGATTTCACTTTATTGTTACATTAATCTCACAAATAAACCCAACACAGCCAGAAACACTGAGCAGGTAGAAGTGCCAATGTAGAGGACTCGCAACAGAAAGAGGAAAGAATCCAGTTCATCTCCTCCATGTTTCCAGCCTGGAAAGATATTTCTATTACACAAAAGTCAGGGCAGCTGACATAATAAGTGATCCATTCTACAGACACTTTAGCTAAGGAATAGAAAATCTTACCAGGTGAGGTCTGTGCAAGGCAAGGAAATAGAAAAGTCAGAAAACATTTTTTCCTCATGTAACTCCGGCACAGATATACCAAATAACAAAAACAATATTTTTCAAACTTCCTATTTGTGATGGACATCTAATAAGGAATGAGAGGGGTATTAGTTCTATAGGCTTACTTCCTGCTACTGCCTGTCTTCAGAACACAGTGTGGCTAGACACTTTCTTCCCCAATCCTGAGTCAGAGGTGCCAGAGATAATTTTCTAGGATTCTGGGAAGAACTAACCTTACCTTTTCATCTTGCCAGCCCCTGAAAGGTAGATCAGGTACTCCCTCATGAATATCAAGGAGATATGGGCTATCAGAACAATCAGCCTGGCAGCATTTAAAGATTAATGAAGCTCAAGACTTCCCATAGTTGTCTTTAGACATTTTTAGGTACCTCTGTCAAGCCTGGGGTTTAAAGTACAATTATTTGTCTAGTGAATTCAAATGATCTGACTGCAGAGAGTGAGATTATGATACCATAAGCTCAGATCACCCCAACTGTTTCTATTCCAAAATTGGAAATTCAGTGACGGATTCTCAGAAGCCAAAAAGATCACTAAAGTTCATCTAATCATCCCTCTGATGCCACAGAATCCTGAATTCAAAGGGCAGAATTAGTCACATCTTTCCAACACCTAAGAATTCCTGGCTTCACCTCATCTACATGGAATCCAAATAAGGATAAGCCAGGCCCAGGAACTTCCAACATGCCTTACTTGTGGCCAAGAGTCAAGGCTTGAGTAGAATATTCAACCTCAGGAGGAAGGGGTGAAGTATTTCAACTCAGCCTTAGGATAAGGAGGAGGGCAAACTGGTGCCATAAGAGGTAGAGTAGGAGAGCGGAGAGGCCTCAGTGGAAAGGCACAGACCCCCCTCCCACTGCCCTGCTCAGGCAAAAAGGGGGTGAATTTGGAGGGGGCACTGAAGGCTGATAAGGTGCGTGAGATCCCCTTGCTAAAGTTTAGATATGGCCTTCCTTGCTGTGGCTGTGCTTAGTTTTCCATCTTGCTCCCACTATAAAGACTGATAAGGGGGTTTAGGGGTGACCCAGGCTGCAGTATGGCTGCTTAGCTGTTCAAATGGGGGTCATTAAGTTCCTAGCCTTTAGGGAGCTTCTGTAAGTCTAAAAACATTCAGAGTTCCAAAGAGTTGTTTGATAGAGGCAGGAGCTGAACACTTGACAAGATTGTTGGTGGGACCTGGCAAAATTCAAAGTGGGATCCATTGAATGCTCTGGAAACTACTGCTATGAACCAAGGGCAGGCTTGGAAATCTCATAAGAAGATATTCGCAGCTGATTATTTTTCTGACTTCTCCATGTACTTCTATGACCAAATTGAAGGGGAGAATTCATTACAGGTATCTGTGTGCCTAAACTGACACCCCCCAAAAAAGCTTTGAGGAACCCCTGTGATCTCCAACATCTTGAGAAGGGTCAGCAGACATTGCGCAGCAGGAAAATGTTGTCCTTAACACTGTCAGCTCTTGCCCTGCCTCTTTTCTTGAAGCAGAACAAGGCAGAAGAGTTTCCAACCTTCAGTTCCCTGTCTGGAAATTTCATTCCTGACCTCCAGCCCGGAAAGGTTTCCATAGGTAGGACTTCCCACCAACTGATTCTACTCAGTACTTCCTTATATTCCGGATCTGCTTGGATTTTTTTTCATCTCCTTTCCCTATTCCTGATCTTAGCTAGTTGAGTCTGTGGCAGACAAATAACAGGCTGGGCAGAAATACTGACCAGATCTTGGGGGTAAAAATGTTTAATAATGATCCCCAGATTATTTACCAAAGCCTTCAATTCCATCTCATAAAGTGATTAATGTTCTTCTGGCTGTGATTCCTTCTCCTCACCTCCAAGAAGTTCAGGTAAGAGGTCATCCCACTCATTTTTGCACCCTCAGGTTTTAGGCACCAAAATAAGGTCCTAAATGTGACAATTTGGGGCAGAGAATTTTAGCAGACTTAGCACATGGGAGGAAGGGCTACCCAGAACCTCCTGGCATCCATCTCCAAAGCAAATCCTTCCCCTACCTTGCCTTTTTAAAACCTTACCTCTTCATCCTCCTTCAAGGCCTGAATACAAAAGAAGCAGCATGGGAGAATGAACATAGCCTTGGCTTGTCAAGTCTGAGTTCTAGGTTCCTCTGCCACTGACTTAGTGTAACAGTTTACATAATTCATTTGCCTCTCTGGACCTATAAATGAAAAATTGGACTAGATGATCTCTCTGGGCTCTTTCAGATAAACTTATTCTTGATAAATCATGAATGAATTAGAAGAAATTCTAATTCTGAGACATAGGTATCCTGCACCTCTTTGAAACAGCTGGAGGTAAAGGTCAGGTTCCTGTTTATTATACATTTTAACTATAGGAAAGGAAGCAAGTGTATCTATGGAGAAAGAGAACCTGGCAGCCCCTATACTAATAAAAGCAAATTCTTGAAAGAAGCAGAGAAGTAGGCCACAAGTGAGACCTGGCAGTGTCAAAAGGTCTATAAATTAAGTGATCAGAGGAGTAAAAAACAATGGCTATAACCAGATAAGATCTCTAAGCACGGACTAAAGTCTAAAGAAGTCTGGGTGGAAGGAGCCCCTGGAGCTTCTATTAGAGGGAAGGACTTGGTCCACAGCAAGTTGCTACTGCATTTGGTTCAAACCCAATTTTCTCAATCTGTCAACCTGATATGTGTGCACATGTGCAGACATGCTGCAGTCTGTAGTTATGCTTCTGAAGTGCTGAAATGAGAAAGAAATAGAAGAAATGATACCAAATTCAAAGAAGTTAGGTTGAAGGCAAGTACAATTTTAGTTTAAAAGCTACTTATTTTCCCCACCACTCTGTGCAGTACCATCACTACTTATTCTGGAATGTGGGCTAGAGAGTTATTTAGGATGGTGAACTCTAGGGTTTGGGGATGGGTGTACTTGTGATCAGATTGAAGGACAAAGACAAGACACAATCCAATATCCTGTGTGAGAACCCCTCCACTTAATGACAAATGGATTTTACTTGACCTGACCCATTTGGGCACTTACTTGTCTTCATTCAAGGAAACAGTCTCCACAAAAGGGATTTCTTCCTTGTCTGTCTTCCCCATGATCAGCCGGTGTTTATCCAAATTTATGATGCACTAAAAACAAAGGAGAATCACTGGTCACTGTCAGTGATCCCAAGGCCAATGGTCCATGTAAGAGGACCCCTGCCTCAGAAAGTAAGATTCAAAGGGAAAGTAGAATCAATCCTACCTTAAGGGATCGGAGAGTCTGGAGACCAAGGGACAAGTTTTTCTCATTGTCCTCTAAAAAAAAATTAAGATCCAACTATTGCTATGCTGGGTTAGAAGTCAGCCTTATCACCATTGGATTCCATCTCATCTTCCATCCTTCCTTCCTTCCACTTATCCATCCATCCATCCATCCATCTATCCAATAAACACCTGTTAAGCATCTATTATATTAAGTAATTTCCACAGATCATTAGAATTAAAAGGTAATAGAGCCAAGATTCAAACCTAGGTCTTTTAAACCTTAAAGGACAAAGGCCTTTAGATAAAACTCAGGAATCGTAAGTAGTCTGGAGTAGAGTACATAAGGGAAAAGTACATAAGGGTAGTCAACAATTTAAGGCGAAGGAGTAAGGGGATCTAGCCCTCTACCTCCAACTAGGTCAGAGAACACTCTCAGGAGCCACTTTCACAGGCACACAAAAACGTTTCTTGCTCCTTACATTTTTTTTATCCTGAATTACACACTCCTTTTTCTTAGTGATTCTAAACAATTTTTGAAGAAGTCAGTATTTACAAGCATGAGATTTTAATGAGGGTTTGGTGGAAGTAGGGAGGGCAATTACAATAGGAGTCCATAGGTCCAGTTCTCAATTCTACTCACCAACCACAGCTGCTGCACAGTCCAGGCGGAGGGAGCCCAGCGTGATCACCAGGTGCTCAATCTGGCCCACTACTTTCAGATGTCGGGGAAGAGAAAGCTTCTCTCCTTCATGCTTGTGAGATCTGACATGCTCCTTGAGTCTGCACCAGAGAGGGAGATATCGGAATCCCCTTGGCAGAGGTTTCTGATGGAATCGGACAATGTCTACCATATGACCCCACCCACATACCGTTGGACTTTTCCAGGGATTTCCTGGGATTAATTTACCAAAAAATGTGCTAGGCAGCCTATACTTCTTGCTTCAGAACTTTGTCCTACATATGCCAGGGGATACAAAAAACAAAAGATTCAGCTCCTATTCTCAAAAAGCTATGTCACTATCTGTACTGGTGAAAAATGACAGTTGATACACTCAGAAAATCCTATTCTGCATCTTAACATCCCCACCTATATGCAAGGCAATTTAGTTAACATGTCCTGTTACCCATCTGTGGGTAAAAGATATCAGAAAGGGCAGGAGTTTGTCCTAATTTTAGAAGATGCTTTTTGTTCAGCATCTAATTTTCTCTTTGCCTTCTCTATTTCAGTTTATCCTCCTCAGTTAGTCCTCAGATATAAGATTAGTGGAAGCTGGTACTTATCTGGTAAGTGCACTGATATTGATATTGATATCGGCAAGGAGTATCATGGGGAAAGTCTTGATTAATTTAACTTGTCTCTGCAGGGGAGAAAGGAAAGGAACAGCACCCAGGTTTCACACAGTTATATAAGCAGATTGGAACAGCAAGCACCCAAGATATCATGGGTTGGTGGATAAAAACTTAATTATGGACTTTCTGTGCCAATACTTCTGCTTTACTCCATTTCCTCTCTTTTGGTGTTATAGCTCATCCAAAAGAAAAATAATTGCAGTTTTACAGATGGTTATTAATTCCTCTGGAACCATGGCAGACTGCTGCCTAATTATGCACCAGGACATTATTAGTCTTCCTGGAACCATCATGTTGCACTATATCTCATCTCTTCACCACATAAAAAAGCTCAGGATTCTTCCCACAAGAGCACTTGTGTCCTGGACTTCTCCTGCAAGCCTAAATAGCAATGTACAAAACCCACAGAGCCAGCCTCAAAGAGTCACAGTGGTGGGGAGGGGTGAGGACAGGGTAGAAACAAAAGGAAACAGATCAGGTAACAGAGGTCACTAATTATAAAAATCCAGCCTTGTTCAAGTCCTACCTGAGAGTAGTATGAGCATCTTGAAAGCAGCTTAGAATGAACCATTATATCTACCATAGAGATTGTTTCAATACAGAGATTAAGCTAGGGAATGATTTGTTGTTCTTAGGGCTAGAAAAATGGAAAAAGACATTGGGTTGATCTTTACAATTCTGGGCTAGACCTTAGGGTCCAGCTAGTACTTACGAGGGAAAAGAAGGAAGAACACATAAAAGTACAGATTGACTGAAAAGGAGGAAAGATATAGAATGGCTTTCTCTGACTACAAGAGGAAGAACCCAATTCTAGCTGTTATAAAACCAAAGACATTCAATATATGAGGTATCTGCCTCACACGCAATCCCCAGCAGGGACAGCAGTAAGACTTGATTTTACATGTTCTTTACAGAGATGAAAGGTGCTAAGAATCTATTAGTTAATCACACCCATGATGGTTTAGGCCCAGCAGCAATAGCGGTCCTATTCTAAGATCTGACTGATGCTTCCTCGGACAGGCAGTGTGGCCTCCAGAAAGACCCTGAGTAAGCTAAGACCAACCACATCCCTGCTTTTACTCATCTGGGGTATACCAACAGGACTGCTCCTTCTAATTTGTTGTCTTTGCAGGGCATATATCAGGACCAGGGCATGGCTAACAATGAGCCAAGGATCTCATTGAGCCCAAAGGTCTTTGCTCAGAAATTAATAGGTGGGAGTTAATGGAAAATCTGATGCTTTCCTGGCTTGCAGATTTCTCCCAGGTGCCTGAGAATCTAGCTTATATTTGAATTCTGCATACTTTTCTTGGAACCTTGGTAGAGATCTTCACCATCTCTAACTTCGAAATAGATTCAGGCAAAGAGTGCATTATTAGCACCTGACTCCCACCTAGCACAAGTGGTTACTTACCCCAGTCTATCCACACAGGCTGAAGAGATGAGATTATATTGACAACCTGTGTCAACCAAGGCTTTCACATCTTTTCCAGCACACTGTGAAAAAGAAACATACTGCTCAGCAGGAGCCAGAGAAGCAAAAGGGAAGGGTGTAAGCAGCAGATGTCACATGAAAGCAGGGCTGGAGAGCATCTCACAATTACCCGTTGGTAATGTCTCAGCTTTAACCACTGCTGAGTCTCCTTTTAGGAGCCTTTTCCCGCTGAATCTAGAGCTGACAGAGGATCCCAAAGGACTTTCTGTATTTAATTCTATATACCAACTAGCTCTTAATTGTGCGTGTGTGTGTCACACACCCTTTTGCAAATCTAATGAAAGTTTGGTCCCTTCTCCCATAAAGATGCACACACATAAAAATATTCCATACACTTCCAGTAAAACTCACTCATGAATTCTATGATAAGACCCAAAGTCTATATACTTTGGAGGAGGAGGCACCACTGTGGGAATCACAATGGGCCCACATCCTACTCTCCAGAAAACCCTGGAAAAACTATTCTCAGAACATTACCTGGCAAGAAACCAAAATCATGTCATCATCGTCAGACTTCTTTAGTCCCTCAGACTTCGCCTGATTCATTTTGTTGGTCTTGGAGGCCCAAGGGACACGACTACTTCGAAGTTTAGACAGGTTGGTTTCCATGAGGCGCCTCTGCAGAATGTTATGAGGTTGCTTGAGGAATAGAAAGCAGAAGATTCTTAGTGACAAGTCTTTTCCCCATTTTCCCATTGTCCTCCAGTTACCACAGAAATAATAAAGAAGCCTCACATAACTGGGCTCTACCTTTGCTTCTTATTTATTTTTCCTTCAAGCAGAGACTTCATTGGTAATTCAGAGCAGGTACTGTAATAGGTCACCTTGAATGAATCAAAGAGTAAGGTGGAACATTGGAAAATGTGGCTAGAGCCAATGAATATTCTATGGCTAAAGAGAATTGAGGGACCCTGCTGTATTTCCTCCTCTTACAAGGGCATTTCAGGAGAAAAGTGACCCTAGTCTATGTGGAATAAATGTATCCTCCCAGGTAGCTTATAGAAGAGGCAGTTCATTCTCACAGGCCAAAGAAACCTACCCAGTACTGGCTGTCAGAAGCTCTGCTTACTTCCATTTCAAGACTTACTTGAAGACTTACAGTCTCATCTTTTGGACCTAGTCTTCATATAACTTGGTGGCCTGACTCTCCTGTGGGCTGAGTAACCCATGAGGTGGTTGGGGTGGGAAGACAGGAATTCATATCTGCTGAGCAATCCTCCCAGGAGACACACTTTGGAACTTGGCAGAACCCACAGGAATAATCCTTACTAACATCTTCTGGACCTCAAGAAGTATAATGAAACTCTTGCCATATTCTTGATATCCATTCTGTCTCTCTCCAATGGGCCAAAAAGTGGGAGTAAAAAAGGGGCAGATGCCAAAAAACAGGAGACTTAATTAGACTTTATATCTATGTCAAGATACCTAATAGGAGGCAGAATGAGGAATGTGAATTCAAGTCTGCTCTCTGACAGAATTTAAAGAGTTCACAGAGCAGCTATATCCATGCTCTGCTCTTTCTACCCAAACTGGCCTCTAGAAAATATAAGTTACTTCATGATAAGAACTTATTTGACCTGAGGAATATCTATATACAAGCATCTTATTCTCAGTTTACAATAATATTTAAAATCTCTCAAAGGAAAGATTCCAAGTTTCTATGTAACACATACCAGATGCCTCTCAATTTTAGGGGGAAGAAAATCACTCTTAGAAGCTCAGAGCCTAGAATTTTCCCAGGAAAGGGGGCAGAACTGGATAAGGTCTTCATTATCTACCACCTTTCAATTTCTGAGGAAGAATGGAGTCAGAGCCATGACTCACTCTAACCCTGGTGAGGCGAAGAAATGGATTCCCAAAATACACAGATTCTTGGCAAAGCAGATTCTAAATTAGTATCCTTGGGAAAAGGAGAGAGAGAGGCACTTAAGAGAAAATGAGAGCTTCTTAACTTGATAAGGAGCTAGAGGAAGTGCTAACTCTGTCAGATTTCTTTGGAGAATGATTTGCTCCTCAAAAGAAACAAATTCTTCATTCTTATCTCTCTCACTAATAAGGCTGGATTCCTAGCTCAAGTCATATTAAAGCAGGGTGTTTGCTTCTGTCAAGTCCACGCTCAGCAGAAACAACTGAATTTGTACAACTGTAAGCTGAACTTATAGAACTGAAGATTAGAAAGGACTTCAAAGGCCAATAAATGAAAGCCCTCTTCACTGAAAATTTGGGGCTTTCCTTCCACATCAGTCTTGCTGAACACAGCTTTACTTCTCTACTCCTAATCTTCCAAAGGCGTCTAATCATCATTGGACAGATGAGGCAAATGAGGAAAAAGCTGAAATTATTTTCCTTGAAGTCATCTGTCTTCTAAATTTTTCTCCTTCCTCCTCAGGTTATAAAACATACTCAAAGTTCTCATATACTGGGGAGAAAACACATAACCTCAGACCCTGCCTCCTCAGCTCCTCTAATTACACCCTTGTCTTAAATGGTCATCTTTTAAAGAAGCCAAACATTTCCTGATATCCTTCACTGAAATTACTTCTGATCCCACAACATCAATAAAAATCTCCTAATTTCCAGATCTGGTAGATATTTTTCAGTCTTCATTTTCCTTAACTTCTCTAAGGCATTTGACCCTGCTGACAACTCCTGTATTTGTTCTTTTCTTTAGTAATCAAAAAGTATCAAAAATAATACATGCTCAGTGAAAAAAATTCAAGATTCACTGAAGTATATAAAATCAAAAGTGAAGGCCTCCCAACCTCTCAACCTTTTCTCGGTCCCACTCCCTACAAATAACCACCCTTAAATTTAGAAGTATAGGGGCACCTGTCTGCCTTCAGCTCAGGTCATGATCTCTGGGTCCTGGGATTGAGCCTTGTGGGCTCACTGCTCAGTTGGGACCCTGTTTCTCCCTCTCACATTCCTCCTGCTTGTGTTCCCTCTCTCCCTGTCTCTCTCTCTCTCTCTCTGTCAAATAAACACATTAAGTAAATAAATGAATAAATAAATAAAAATTTAGAAGTATATCCTTCCAAAACTTTTTGTACATTTACAAACATATACAAAATAGGATTATACTATAACACTGTTCTAAAATTTTCTATTTTAGTTTAATATATGAAAGACATTTTTTCTATGTCCTTACATATAATTCTCTTTGTTCATTTTCACAACTAAAAGTATTGATAGTACAGGAGTTGAAAATTCACAGCTGATAAACCCATATGAAACTCAGGAATATTTTTCTGTGGTCATTTTATTATGCTGACATGTTTTAAATGACAGTGTAACTGCACATTTACCTCTGCCCCCAACCAAAATTTCACTAAAATCATAATCAAGGAGTAAGAAAGGCCTAAACATACAAGAGCAAAAAGAAAAAAAAAAAAAGAAAACAATAACAAAAAGGAGAAACAAAAACAGACAAAATTTTGGAATCTGAGAAGCAAACAGTAAAGTGAAAACTAATCTAAGAGTAAAGAAAGCTAAGTGCTTCACACCATTCTACTTCACACAATGCTAGAGTGGCGAAGATTGCCAGTTGTTTATCAAAATCCGTGTTCTCCTATTCTTACTGTATAAATACCTAGATTGTTTTCCAGCCTTCTTTGCAGTTAGGCATGGCCAGAAGACTGAGTTCTAGCAAAGAGAATGTGAGGAGAAGTGACATATGCCACTTCTAGACTTGACCCATAAAAGTGTTCTATGAACACTCCTCCATTCTTTTCTTCTTCTGACTGGTTAGAATGGAGATGACCCTAGGGGTAACCTCCTTGGAGGTCACATGTTGGAGACAGAAGAGCCACTGTCAGCCTAGGTTCCTAAGTGACTACATGGAAGAGGGCTGTCTTGCTGACCTGTCTATTAGTACTGTTACTTAAGAAAAACGAACTATCATGTTTGAGCTATTATATATTTGGGGGTTTAGCTGTAAAAGCAGTTTTCCTATTCAAACTAAAACTCTGAAAAGGCTGAGGAGTTAGAGGTATTAGAACTTCTACTGTTAGAGGGTGGGAAATAGATTAGTATAAAGCCTGCATAAAACTCCTACTTGACCCAGACAACCGGGAAGTATGCCAAAAGTTTATTCTTTTTGAAATAGTAACTCAGAAAACTCTGGTTGGTTAATAGTTTGTCTAAGCTTAGCAATTATGTACTGTCAGATATCTAGAACAGCTAAGGGTGAGGATAGAGTGCCATACTAAGCTAGAGCTGAAGGATATGGGTTTAAGGATTGAAAAAAATCCTTTATATAATCCTTTCATATAATGAAAGAAAAAAGATCCACAACAATATCTCACATCACTATGAATTTTTGGAGTATTATGAGTGACACAGATTCCAAAAGCTTCTAAGGAAAAAAAGATGATCCAAATACAAAAGATTAGGAAACAGAGTGGCATAGGACAATTCAACGGTATTAATGAAATCTAGAAGACAATGGAATACTACTTTTTTAAAAATCTGATAGAGCACAATTTCTTAACCTAGCCAAACTATAAATCAAGACTCAGGAAAATTAATTCCCAATCATCCTCAAGAAGCTACTGAAAGAAATGAGGGGAACCAATGAACAAAGAAAAAATTATAGGGTTCAAGAATAAAGGACCCAACAGAAAAGAGAAGCAAAGGACATTCTGAGAATGGCCCTGAAGGAAAAATCTAGGCTATAGGATGTGTAGCAGGCCTTGAGAGCAACCAGTACAAAATGAAAATTGGAGGATGGAGGGCTCCAGGAAGGATGTCTCCAAGAAAAAAGAGATGGATCTGCTACATCATCTACAGTTTTAAGGTTCCTGGAGATTTAAACTTTACATAGAAAATAACTAGGCAATTATTAATTTTGAGAAAAAGAAATACTTGCATGGGAAAGGAAATATATAGTACATCATTTGAGCCAGCTGTGAATAACATGAATATAGTCATAACATAAGCAGTAAATGCTGATTGGACCCCAAACAGCTATTTAACAGAACATTGGCATAATAGAAGAGAGGACATGATAAAGAGAATTAAACCCTTACCTATTATAATAGAAAATCAATAGATAATGGTAAAATCAATAGGTCAAGAAATAGTAGTACCACCATTTACCTAGATATATGGAGATACCTAGCACAAGGAACAGTCAAGATTTTTAAAAAGTTTTAAATTATAGACATACTTTTTTTTAAAGATTTTATTTATTTGACAGACAGAGATCACAAGAAGGCAAAGAGGCAGGCAGAGAGAGAGAGGAGGAAGCAGGCTCCCCACTGAGCAAAGAGCCCGATGCGGGGCTCGATTCCAGGACCCTGGGATCATGACTTGAGCTGAAGGCAGAGGCCTTAACCCACTGAGTCACCCTAGACATACATTTTTCATAAAAATAAATATTAAGTGAAAAAATACATCCCACATATTAGGAAAGTGTTCAGTCACAAGAAAAACAAACTTACAATGACTTAAATGGAGGTGTATTTTTTCTCATATAACAAGAAGTCTGGAGGTAGGCAAATGTTAGCAATAATTCAGCAGTTTAACAGTTTCAGGGCTACTGTCTCTGTACTCTTGGATATCCCCTCATGATCACATGATGGGTGCCCCAGCTCCAGGTATTACATCTACATGTAGGAGGAAGGAGGAAGGGACTACAT